CTCGGTGCTGGGGTCTGTCACTGGTACCATCCCTGCAGCCCCGGTGCTGGAGGGGTTTGGGTGGGGGTCTCGGTGCTGGGGTCTGTCACTGGCACCGTCCCTGCAGCCCCAGTGCTGGAGGGGTTTGGGTGGGGGTCTCTCCAGTCGGGTTTTGAGAAGGGGGGTGCTCCCTGACACCCCCTGCAGCCCCAGCGTTGAGTGGTGGGTGGGTAAGGGTGGGGGTCTCACAGTGGGGTCTCAGTGCTGCTCTCCCTGGTGCTCAGGGCTGAGGCCGGGGGTCTCAGGGGTGCTCTGGGGGGGGTCGGTGGATAAGGGTGGGGGTCTCGGGGGTGCTCCAGGGGGTGTCTGGGTGAGCCCAGGGGGTCTCAGGGGTGCTGTCCCCCACAGCCCCAGCTCCAGGGGGTGTCTGGGTGAGCCCGGGGGGTCTCAGGGGTGCTCCGGGGAGCAGATGGATAAGGGTGGGGGTCTCAGGGGTGCTCTGATGGGTGGGTGGATAAGGGTGGGGGTCTCGGGGGTGCTCCAGGGGGTGTCTGGGTGAGCCCAGGGGGTCTCAGGGGTGCTGTCCCCCACAGCCCCAGCTCCAGGGGGTGTCTGGGTGAGCCCGGGGGGTCTCAGGGGTGCTCCGGGGAGCAGATGGATAAGGGTGGGGGTCTCAGGGGTGCTCTGATGGGTGGGTGGATAAGGGTGGGGGTCTCGGGGGTGCTCCAGGGGGTGTCTGGGTGAGCCCAGGGGGTCTCAGGGGTGCTGTCCCCCACAGCCCCAGCTCCAGGGGGTGTCTGGGTGAGCCCGGGGGGTCTCAGGGGTGCTCCGGGGAGCAGATGGATAAGGGTGGGGGTCTCAGGGGTGCTCTGATGGGTGGGTGGATAAGGGTGGGGGTCTCGGGGGTGCTCCAGGGGGTGTCTGGGTGAGCCCAGGGGGTCTCAGGGGTGCTGTCCCCCACAGCCCCAGCTCCAGGGGGTGTCTGGGTGAGCCCGGGGGGTCTCAGGGGTGCTCCGGGGAGCAGATGGATAAGGGTGGGGGTCTCAGGGGTGCTCTGATGGGTGGGTGGATAAGGGTGGGGGTCTCGGGGGTGCTCCAGGGGGTGTCTGGGTGAGCCCAGGGGGTCTCAGGGGTGCTGTCCCCCACAGCCCCAGCTCCAGGGGGTGTCTGGGTGAGCCCGGGGGGTCTCAGGGGTGCTCCGGGGAGCAGATGGATAAGGGTGGGGGTCTCAGGGGTGCTCTGATGGGTGGGTGGATAAGGGTGGGGGTCTCGGGGGTGCTCCAGGGGGTGTCTGGGTGAGCCCAGGGGGTCTCAGGGGTGCTGTCCCCCACAGCCCCAGCTCCAGGGGGTGTCTGGGTGAGCCCGGGGGGTCTCAGGGGTGCTCCGGGGAGCAGATGGATAAGGGTGGGGGTCTCAGGGGTGCTCTGATGGGTGGGTGGATAAGGGTGGGGGTCTCGGGGGTGCTCCAGGGGGTGTCTGGGTGAGCCCAGGGGGTCTCAGGGGTGCTGTCCCCCACAGCCCCAGCTCCAGGGGGTGTCTGGGTGAGCCCGGGGGGTCTCAGGGGTGCTCCGGGGAGCAGATGGATAAGGGTGGGGGTCTCAGGGGTGCTCTGATGGGTGGGTGGATAAGGGTGGGGGTCTCGGGGGTGCTCCAGGGGGTGTCTGGGTGAGCCCAGGGGGTCTCAGGGGTGCTGTCCCCCACAGCCCCAGCTCCAGGGGGTGTCTGGGTGAGCCCGGGGGGTCTCAGGGGTGCTCCGGGGAGCAGATGGATAAGGGTGGGGGTCTCAGGGGTGCTCTGATGGGTGGGTGGATAAGGGTGGGGGTCTCGGGGGTGCTCCAGGGGGTGTCTGGGTGAGCCCAGGGGGTCTCAGGGGTGCTGTCCCCCACAGCCCCAGCTCCAGGGGGTGTCTGGGTGAGCCCGGGGGGTCTCAGGGGTGCTCCGGGGAGCAGATGGATAAGGGTGGGGGTCTCAGGGGTGCTCTGATGGGTGGGTGGATAAGGGTGGGGGTCTCGGGGGTGCTCCAGGGGGTGTCTGGGTGAGCCCAGGGGGTCTCAGGGGTGCTGTCCCCCACAGCCCCAGCTCCAGGGGGTGTCTGGGTGAGCCCGGGGGGTCTCAGGGGTGCTCCGGGGAGCAGATGGATAAGGGTGGGGGTCTCAGGGGTGCTCTGATGGGTGGGTGGATAAGGGTGGGGGTCTCGGGGGTGCTCCAGGGGGTGTCTGGGTGAGCCCAGGGGGTCTCAGGGGTGCTGTCCCCCACAGCCCCAGCTCCAGGGGGTGTCTGGGTGAGCCCGGGGGGTCTCAGGGGTGCTCCGGGGAGCAGATGGATAAGGGTGGGGGTCTCAGGGGTGCTCTGATGGGTGGGTGGATAAGGGTGGGGGTCTCGGGGGTGCTCCAGGGGGTGTCTGGGTGAGCCCAGGGGGTCTCAGGGGTGCTGTCCCCCACAGCCCCAGCTCCAGGGGGTGTCTGGGTGAGCCCGGGGGGTCTCAGGGGTGCTCCGGGGAGCAGATGGATAAGGGTGGGGGTCTCAGGGGTGCTCTGATGGGTGGGTGGATAAGGGTGGGGGTCTCGGGGGTGCTCCAGGGGGTGTCTGGGTGAGCCCAGGGGGTCTCAGGGGTGCTGTCCCCCACAGCCCCAGCTCCAGGGGGTGTCTGGGTGAGCCCGGGGGGTCTCAGGGGTGCTCCGGGGAGCAGATGGATAAGGGTGGGGGTCTCAGGGGTGCTCTGATGGGTGGGTGGATAAGGGTGGGGGTCTCGGGGGTGCTCCAGGGGGTGTCTGGGTGAGCCCAGGGGGTCTCAGGGGTGCTGTCCCCCACAGCCCCAGCTCCAGGGGGTGTCTGGGTGAGCCCGGGGGGTCTCAGGGGTGCTCCGGGGAGCAGATGGATAAGGGTGGGGGTCTCAGGGGTGCTCTGATGGGTGGGTGGATAAGGGTGGGGGTCTCGGGGGTGCTCCAGGGGGTGTCTGGGTGAGCCCAGGGGGTCTCAGGGGTGCTGTCCCCCACAGCCCCAGCTCCAGGGGGTGTCTGGGTGAGCCCGGGGGGTCTCAGGGGTGCTCCGGGGAGCAGATGGATAAGGGTGGGGGTCTCAGGGGTGCTCTGATGGGTGGGTGGATAAGGGTGGGGGTCTCGGGGGTGCTCCAGGAGGTGTCTGGGTGAGCCTGGGGGGTCTCACGGGTGCTCCGGGGTGCAGATGGATAAGGGTGGGGGGTCTCAGGGTTGCTCCAGGGGGCAGCTGGGTGAGCCGGGGGGTCTCAGGGGTGCTCTGATGGGTGCGTGGATAAGAGTGGGGGTCTTGGGGGTGCTCTGAGGGGTGTCTGGGTTAACCCGGGGGTCTCAGGGGTGCTCCAGGGAGCAGATGGATAAGGGTGGGGATCTCGGGGGTGCTCTGGGGGGTGTCTGGGTGAGCCCAGGGGGTCTCAGAGGTGCTCCGGAGAGCAGATGGATAAGGGTGGGGGTCTCAGGGGTTCTCCGGGGGGCGTCTGGGTGAGCCCGGGGGTCTCAGGGGTGCTCCAGAGAGCAGATGGATAAGGGTGGGGGTCTCAGGGGTGCTCTGAGGGGTGTCTGGGTGAGCCCGGGGGGTCTCACGTTCGCTCTCCCCGCAGCCCCGGCACCATTCCCCGGGCAGCAGCCGCCGCCCTCGCAGAGCCTGGCGGGGACCCTCGGCGGTGGCAGCGGCGGCGGCAGCAGCAGCAGCAGCAGCAGCAGCGGCCACCCCGCCGTGCCCGGTAATGCCACCGCGGCCCTGCCCTTCGGCTTGCCCGCGCCCCCCGTGGCCCCGAGCATGGCTAACCCCCCGTGCGACCCCTTCCCCTCTAACCCGGCCCCCCTCCCGCTGCATGGGGCCCTGGCCAGCAGCATGCCGGGGGTGGGGGGGCTGCCCCCCAACTCCCACCCGGCCCCGCCGCCGCTGCCGGGGGGCTCGGCCGCCGCGCACAGCCCCGCCATCGTGGCCGCCGTGCAGGGAAGCCTCCTTCCCAACCCCGGGCTCCTCGCAGGTGAGAAATTTTGGGGGTATCGGGAGCGCGAGGGGCGGGCGGGGGTCGTGCATGGACGGTGGGGAAGGGGCGATGCTCTCCTGTGCTCCCCCCACCCCCCGGTTTGACCCCCCTGCCCCCCGTTTTT